GGCATAGTGGCACTTTGGGAGGTAATTCCAGCACTGTGGAAGGCTGAGGCAAGTTCAAGTCAAATCTGGGTAACCTCATGAGACCCTGTCTCAAATTTTAAAAAGGACTGGAGTTGTAGCTCAGTATGAAGGCATTGGGTCCAATATGCAATACAAAAAAAAAAAAAAAAAAAGGCAGGGGGAGTTATTTAAATTGAGTTCAAGTAGATCCCAAATCTACCAAATCTACCTTTCATGCCAGGCAGCCAGAGGCTCTCTCTCCCCAACTCAGGTGGAAACTAAAGCTCCATTAGGTGAAAGCACGGTAGTGTCCCTGGGCTAGCAGACACCATACACAGCTGAAGGCCTGGGCAGAGAACAGAGGACTGAGTACTGCCATACCGGATGTGAAGACATCCCCATTTTCTTGCTCTTGGTTCCTAGAGTCTTGCTCAAGGCTTCTAGAGGAAGCCTTGGCCAGGACTCTGACCATACTACCACCACCCACTGTCTGAAAGTGCTGTAATAAGCAGAAATACCAAAATACCACCCAGGATTTGGAGGCAGATCTATCTTATTGATGGGCACTGATGGGGAACCAATTGGCTCTCAAAATATCAGACCGGTACAGAGGCTCCTACAATATGCATCAGAGTGACCAGCTGTACCTCAGTGACCAGCCTGTGTGGGCCGTGGAGATAGCTCAGTGGCATAAGCACCTGCCTGGCAAGCACAAGGTCCTGAGTTCTATCCCTGGTACAAAACAAAACAAAAAGGATATGAAGTGACCAGCTATTGCTATTTCTAGCAGACGGTAGTAACAGGAACTATAATCTGGGCAACTGACACTGTCTGGGGGCAGTTTTCTGCTAGTAAAGAATTGGCAGGGTCACTGAGTGCAGCCCAGTCTCAGCACTTGTCTGATGGTCTGAGCCTCCTGGGTGGAAATTCGTGGCATGGCACTTGGCCTTATGGATTGCATCCTCATGATTCTGCTCAGCACGTCAGGGCTGGGGCCCCCTTGTCAAGAAGTAAGCCTGCTTACTCCTGCGCAAAGTGCAAAACTCAATTTCCTGAGAGGCCAAGCTAGGGACCACATCCTGCCTGCAGCACACCTTCAGGTCCAGTGGTTTTGTATCTGTCTGTTGGCTGGCTCAGCCTGTCTGGGGGCCTGGGCCGTTGTGTGGGTCGCTGGGGTGAAGAAACACTCACACAAAAGCTTTCAGGATGTAGCCGACTTTACTGAAGATGTGGAGGCACAATGAGGATTTACATAGCAAAAATACAAAAAACCTTAAGATTGAATATCGACATCCATGAACTTAAGAGACTCAGTTATTTCTACCCCTGGGCTTCAGGGTTCACCTCATCCCAGCCCCACCCCTTCTTAGGAGGTAAAACAGAAGTCAAATTCCTCACAGCTTCTTACTGAGAGCTCAGCCCTCCTAGATCTTTCCCCGCAGCTTCACACAGTGTTAGATTCCTAATGAAGAATGCGTCTCTCCTTAATGCTGAGGACAGCATGAGGGTGAAAGACAAACTGGTGGGGCCATGAGCCTGCAGGCCTTCTCTTTGACCTCTCTGAGGAACACCAGCACCCTAGGGGTGTGTGTGTGTGTGTGTGTGTGTGTGTGCGTGCGTGCGTGCGTGTGCATGTCTCCCAGAGACACCTTTTCCCCTCATGCTGGGGCTGCAACCCAGGCCTCGTGCATATGAACCCTCTATCACTCAGCTCCGTTCTTTACCACTGAGGTACAGCCCCAGCCCTTTTTACTTTTTGAGACAGAATCTTTCTAAATTACCCAAGCAAGGTTTCGACCTGTAATTCTCCTGCTTCAGCCTCTCAAGCAGCTAGAACATACACCAAGAGGTGACATCCTCTGAATGCTTATGAGCTAGGGGTGGCACGGCTCCTTGAAACATTTCATCTTCCCCTTCCCAACAGGATTCTGAAGTCACAGCCCTTCCCTCCCGTCTTGCCTAAGTCTACGAAGGCTGCAGGAGGGTAAGCCAGCTGCTTGAGGTCACTTGACTTGGGAGAGGCCGCTGAGTCCGGGGTTAGCTCAGCTGGAGAGTTCAGCTCTTGAGAACATCTTATATAGCTTAGGTCTTTGGGGAAAAGCTCCTTTTCATTCTTCTTTTTTAAAAAAACTTATCTATTTTATTTTTTCATTTTTGGGCATGGTGACCCCAAGGTGAAGTCCACACCACTGTGCCCACATCCCCTATGTCTGGTGGCCAGGTGGGTGATGGGCACCAGTACAGCCCCACCCGACACAGCCCTGCAGCCTCAGGTGCTTTCTCCTGTCACATCCACCCTGTCCTCCAGCCTCCTCCACCCACTGCTCACAAACTCTGAACCCAGTCTGAGAGGTAGCAGGTGTATAAGGACCAAGCACACACAAGACATGAAGCCACTCAGGGTAGCCCCACCCACTCTACTGGCTACGCACGCACGCACGCACGCACGCACGCACCCACGCACATCTTCCTGCATGGGTTTTCATTTCAGGAAATCTTCACATTCCCCTTCATGGGCATAATCTACTTAGCCATGCTCAGACCCACAAGGGGGTGACTTGCCTCCCTCTCCCCCTTTCTACTTGATGATACTGCCAGCTCTAAACCGTGTCAGGGGGACCAGGGGCTTGAGGTCCCTTCCTCACCACCCAGGTGTGCTGCGTATTCCCTTGCTGCCTCCTCACTGCCAGGCACGGTGGCCTCAGGAAGCCAACCTAGCTGGGGCCCAGCAGGGCAGGCGATCGCACTGCACAACTCATTCCTCTCGTCTACGGCAGCTCCAGGGTTTTCTGAAACTCAGATCCCAAGCACTTGCTCTGCTAACACTTCTCCAGGGCTTCCCTTCACAACAAGGAAAAGCCCAGTTCTCAGGAGTGAGCACGAGGAGGTCCCCAGGGCTAGGTTTCCTGCTTCTCTTCCCCATCTGGGTGCTGGCTGGGGCACTGCTGGCCCTGAGATTCACTCATATTCCAGACTCAGCAGCCTCCTCTCAACACCTAGGACACTGTCCCCTGCCTGTCTCTAGGACTTGTTGGGACCATTGTGCTGTCCCTCCCAGCTCCAGGAGCTGCCTCTTCTTGTCCTTCAAGAGCCAGCCCAATGCCCTCACCCCAGGATGTCCCAGCAGTGACCAGAAGCTCTGCCCAGTCACACCCTCCACAGCTCTCCCCTTGACGTACACATCTTCCTCACTGACTCACTCTTCATCCAAAGCAAGCACAACAGGAGCTTGTCTGTCTGTGCGCCGACAACCCCAACGCCCAGGCCAGAGCTGGAGTTAGGTATCTGCAAAGTGCATGAGTAAGTGCACTGACATCCAGGCAAGTTATCTCAGCTTCTGCACCTCTCTTCATCTTTACAATGGGGGTGCTGGGGCAGTGGTGCACACCTGTAGCTCCCACCACTTGGAAAACTGAGGCACAAGGATCACTTGAGCCAAGGTATTTCAGGTCAGCCTGGGTCACATAGCAAGAAACTGAGTCAAGAAAAGAGAAAAAGAAATGGGTCCATGAGAACTGGAGAACTCACGGAGCTGCTCTTTTTAGGGCCATGAAGCAGCCCAGCCATGGTGGGCACATACTTTCACCCAGGGCTGGGCTTGGCTCAGCCTTCCACAGAAGAGGCTTCTTAGGTACCACAGATAGAACCTGGTACCTCATGCATGCCAGACAGGCTCTACCATGAACTACATCCCCAGCTCCTCTTATTTTGAGACAGGGTTTTTCCCAATTGCCTAGACTGGCCTCAAACTTGCTACCCTCCTGCCTCAGCTTCCTGAGGAGCTGGGATTATAGTTGTACCCAGTGCTCTTAAAAAATGAGTCACATGGCCAGGGAGATGGCTCAGTAGAATAAGTGCTTCCCTGGCAAGTGCAAGGGCCTGAGTTCAATCCCCAGTTCTGCCAAAAAAAAAAAAAAAAAAGAAAAAAAGAAAGAAAAAATGAGTCACAGGTGGTCAGCAGGTGGAGAGGAAGGCACTACTGGCTGGAGGAACAGGTGACACCAACAGCAAGGCAGAGAGGTTGGGGGCTCTGAGCATCAGGGGTCAGGGAACCTGGGAGCTGGGTGGTGCTGCAGGGAAGGTGGCCAAGCCATTTCCCTTTGACCCCAACAAGACCACAGGGAAGCAGAAAAATGTAGCACCTTCAAAGGTGATCCCTGGGCCATGTCCACCTGTAAATAGGTGGTGCTCCCCTGGCTGCTTGAACTGTTAAAAGGGGAAGCTCAGAGCCAATGCCAGACCCATCCCTGCAGCCCCACCCATCACAACACAGAGGGCCACCTCCTTAACTGTACGAGGCCAAAGGGCCCACACACTCCCTCTCTGGGCCTACGCGCAGGTGCCCAGTGCTGGGGCCACCAGGCAGTCTCTGAATCCAAACAGCCCTGGCACGGCATTGAGGAGGCAGAACTGTGGGGCGGGGACTGCAAACCTAGGCTGGCATGTGCCAGAGCACATGCCCACCGCTGGGCACTCAGTCCAGACATTAGAATGCCTGCCCCTCTTTACCTGGCATCTATCTGTGGAAGACAAGCACATCTGGGAAACGTCCACAGGGAACTAGAGTTATGTGCCTCTCCTGACCTTTCCCTTCCCTTCCGTCTCCCCCATCCCAGGTCTTCTCCCCATTTCCATAAGGCCTACCTCTCGGTTCCCTGCTATCTATGGTCCATCTTTTATTTTGCTTTTTAAATTCTTTATATTTGGGTGAAAAAAAACCCAATGAATTCTTTACACTTTGGGTTGCCTCATACAATGGAAAGATGTGCTAGTTAAGCTCACCTGACATGCTGTCCTAGCTTTCAGGGAGAGCTGGGCCTCCCCAAACAATACATTTATAACCAGGGCAGGAGGCCAAATTCTAGTCCTGCTTCTTGAAGAGGTTGTGAAGCTGCTTTATGATGGGATCAGTAGGTGCTGGGCCGAGGACAGAGGAAACTGGGTGGCTTTGACTCTCTTCCCATACTGGACAGGATGCCAGCCAGGTTCCTCCCATAGTTTATCTGTTCTAAGAACACAGTTCAGTATAGCATGCACACCTGGGGTATGCAAAGCCCTGGGTTCCACTTCCAGCAAAACATACACCACATGTGCACATACTCACATATACATGCTGCCCACCTGTTACACCATGCTCTGCTCAAGGGCCACCTCTTTCAGTCCTCCATACCCTGGTCTCTATTATCTTCGTCCTCTGGCTGCTTTGAGGATGTGCCCATCCCTCTGACAGCTTTCCCACCTAGCTCCATAGTTAGACCACCACATGTGCTAAGTATTAATATCACTATTGATATTTACTGACCACATGGGTATGCTGAGCACCATGGTAGGAGCTGTGCATACACGAGGTAGGTTATTATTATACCCATTTTACAGATGGGATAACTGAGGCACACAGAATTTAAGTAGTTTACCCCAAGTCCCTGAACTGGTGGGCAGGCTAACTCCAGAGCTGCTGTGCCTAACACCACTTCAGAGAATCCCTCAATGATGCTGTACACAGAAGATCTGCTGGAGCACAGAGCTCATGGCAAACACCCAGAGGTTTGATCTTATTCACCTCCCTGCAAGCTGCTAGGACTGTGGTTCCTGTCCGGGAAGACAGCACCAATGACCAGGAGGTGGCAGCAAGGAGCCACACACAGGCTCCCTCCCACAGGGGCAGGGAGCTGTTCAGGGTGGGTATCTTTGGCACTTCCCCGGCCTCCTGGCTCCTCATCTGTGCCCCTCCTCTGGTTGTGGCTCGGCTCACACAGGGTGTGACATCTGTGAAGGCCAGGCAGCTAGAAACATACCTGGCGCCAGAGTGGCCTCAACCTAACCCCAACCCCCAGTTCTCTAGGGAGACAGACAACCCAGGGAGCCCTCGGAGGGTCTGCGAGGGTTTGCTCCATTTTTCCTCTTCCATCTCCAGGGAGCACAGAAATGACCTGGCCAGAAGCACGTGGACCAAGGGGGTGTGAGGACTCGAACCCTAAGGCCTGGGTGGGTCTCAAGGACCAGGACCCAGTGAACATGCCAGATGCACTCCTGGGCCCTCAGGGATGTGAAGGCCGCAGGATGGAAACAACTCGCTCTCCCCACTTTCATGGGAGCCGATTTCTCAGCCATAGCTGTGGAGAAGACAGTCAGCCTGGCTCCGTGACCACTGCAGGGACGAGAACCACCTAAAGAGCTTTCACAGCATCCCTCTGACAACCGTCACGTCCACACCTGAAGTCCCAGCCCCAGTGGGACTCATCAGCAGCTGCAGAGCAAGTGGCCCAGGCATGGCTCTGTCCTTGGGCCTCCCACATGGCCGATGGCTCAGTGTAACAGCACAGGGACCATGAAGCCATAGGCTTCAGAGTCTGACGACGCTCCTGGCTGAGTCCGCAGGGCACTCGCTTTGGGACGGCCTGGTGCGTCTCTAGCCATTGTGTCCAGTCTGCCCCCAGACTGCCTGGCGCCCCTCGACCCTCCAGGGCTCACACAGCTAGACAGGTCCTCTGCACATGCACACCTCGGGTTTATTGTGGGCAGGGCAGAGCAGGAGCAGGCAGTGTGGCAGAGTCACATCAGCTCTGCTCCGCTGTCTTGGCACTTTGGGACTGCCCTGTGGGTCCCTTCCCATGTCCCCCTTTCCTACACACATCTCTTCCCCCCACCCTGCTCCCAGAGTCTTTCATTCCTTCACCAGCCGGTAGATGTGGTGCTGAGCCCCGTGCTCACTGGCCGACACCTCGAAAACATACGCAATGCACAGCAGGGTCTCCTGCGTGTCTCTGTTGGTGACCACCTGCAGGTGAGACAAAGACAGGGTGAAGCCTCTGAACAGGGTTGCTTAGTGCCACCCCAGGCCTGGGCCCAGCTCACGCGTGCACCTGCAGGATGGTGAAGTTCTCCAGCACACTGTTCATCATGTACTTCTCAGGCAGGTGTTTGAGCTTGTGGATGAAGTTGATCATGTACTCGCAGAGTGGTGAGCGGTGGATGCGGTACGAGTAGTGGCCGTTCTCATAACGAGCGTACTCTGTCTGCAGACCCAGGGGACAGCGAGAGCTCAGAACCCCCTCACCTCCAGCCCAGGCCCAGCTCTGTGGTAAGCTCCACAGCCAGGGTACTGTCACACACAGGAGGCCCATGAGTAGAATGACTCGAGGTGGGTGGATAGTAAATTTGGCCTCTCCTAATTTGGCCTCTCCGTGTCAGCAATGGGCAGGTGTTAGATACCAGCGGTGCAGAGCTTAGAAATCCAGGGATCGAAGCAGTGGATGAGATAGGCCAGGTGCTTCTCAATTCTGGCTGTGCATTAGGGTAACACAGGCAGAGACTGCCTTCATGTGCACAGACACACAGACACGCTCCTGGGGAAATCTGAACCAGATCAGTAGATTGTATCAAAGCAGATTTCCCATTTGCTAATGTTCCCCACTTGTACAGGACACTGCCAGGGAAGGAACAGAGTGGAGGACACATGGGATTATGACTGTAGTTTCACAAAGACACACAGATATATTATATATATATATATATATATATATATATATATATGATTTGAGGAGCTAGGTAAGGTACATGCTTAATGTGCTTGAGGCCTGAGGTCAACTTCAAGAGCCAAAAGAAAAAGGAAAATTGTTGTTCCTAGATTCCACCCCCAAGAAGGCCAAGCTGCCAGGTGAGGTTAAGCGCTTCCAAGACATCCCTGGAAACAGGAAGTCTCTTCCCTGGCACTGGCCACAACCTTGGTTAACAGGTGGACATGAGAGATAGCTTTTGTTATTTCAGACCAATGTGGGAACAAGAGGTGAGGACAGGGACACAGACCCACAGCGTTCTGGGGTGCAGGCGTTCGGAGCCACATCCCTTCACTCTCCCTGCATGGAGAACCAGAATATCCAGAGTGCTCAGGAGCCCATGCGAGTGGGCAGTGAAGACCTCCCGCTGCTCACTGAGCAACACAGGCTTCTTCACACCCCCAGTACTACCCTTGGCCAGCGTGCTCCACAGACCGCTGGAAACTGCTGCCCAAAAGGAACTGAATGTTCTGTCACTTCCACTAGTACAAGTCTCCTGGTACTAAAAGATTCTAAAAGCAGGGACAGTTTGGGGCACTTTTTTTTTTTTTTTTTTCCCAGTACCGGGGACTGAACTCAGGACCTTGCACTTGCCAGGCAAGTGCTTATTCTACTGAGCTATCTCCCCGGCCCATTGGGCACTTGTGGAGTAAAGTGGAAGCAGGGAGCAGAGATCCTGGGGATCTCTAGCTTCGCTACCCCTGAGGAGCTATGTGACCGTGCCCAAGGCCTTCCTCTCTCTGGGTGGGCTTGGGCTCAGCTCCCAGGCCACCTGTGTGTTCACCCTGCTCTCGGAGAGCACGTGGTGAATGCAGACTCCTGTCTGTCTGGGAGGGTTAGTCAGGCTTGGTGCTCTCATCAGAGACCGTACAGCCAGAAGGCCTTTTCCTGAGTGCGCATGAAAGCTGACACCTCCAACAGGGCTACACTGGGGACGCCCAAGTAGCCCCCACCCACGCCAGGACCCACCTCATACCTCCACTTTCTCTACCACCTGCTTGCCGAATGAGCACACCTTGGTGGAGCAGGTAATGATCATGTTCTCAGGACTCTCGTACTGGCTGGAGACCCCATAGAAGGAGCTGCCTTCATCCTCGATGTTGGTATTGAGATCCGCCTGCAGGGGGAGGGGAACAGGAGGCTGAGGATGTGCAGTCTGCCATGGGACAGGCTGCGTCTCACAGTGCAGACTCAGGCTGGGAAGAAATGGAGCAAGTGGACCTCGGAGACTGGACCGCTGTGCTGTTCTCATCCTCACACCCAGGCTCTGTGTGAGGTTGGGCTGTGCCTCTGACACAATAGGAAAAGAACCCTAGGCTTGCTCTGGTTTCAGGCCACTACGGCCACAACACAATACCCCTAGCAAGCAGGCCTCTAGGTCTTTCACTTTTATCATCTGCCTTATCAGATCCTTTCCAGAGTTAAGTCTGAAAATGAAGACAGCATGAAAGCTGAAAACCAGAACAGAGAGGGAGTAGGCAGAGAATCTTGGGACTCCCCACTGTCCCATCCTCTGACTGGCCCATCACCAGCCCTGCCAGGGTTCTTTCAGAAATGGCCCTGACTATGGGGTTTGGCCACCCTTGATGTTTTTTCATCAGTCTCAGTCCCCACAGCTCCCTCCTCAATGCACCTTCCCTCGCTTGGGGCCACACTCTTAGTGGCTCTAGGAGTTCTTTGCAAAAACCAAGTCTGGCTGCATCACCCTGCAGCCCCAACTGTCCAATAGAGCCCTTCTGCCACAGGGGCATGAGTCCCAGTGGCCACCTAGCTCTTGGGCCCGTGCATCAGCCTGCAGCTGGTTTTTCCCTTCAGCTCCTCGCAGGCCCCAGATGTTCTGCTTTCTTCCCCTGCTGCTGGAAGTTGGGCCGATTTGAAATTTACCTCCCTTTCAGCACAGGTGGAATAATGCTCCCAACCCCACAAAAGATACCCCTGCCTTGGCCATCAGTCAGATTCCTGGACTTGGGTCAGCTGTGCCCAAAGCTACACTGCTTACCAGTGATAGTCCCAGGTCTGCAGGCTCCAATCCCAATCTTGTCCCAACCTAGCAGAAGGAAGGTACTGGATGAACCATTTGGCTGCCTTGGGGACTCCCAGGCAGGACTTGCATTTCTGAAGCCTTCAGCCACTTAGGGGTCCCATCACCAGAAGAAGGAAGCTGGGCACCACATCAAATCACCCTGCCTGCGCCAAGGTTGCTAACAGCAATGTGAGACTCAGAACAATGCACATACAACAAAAGGCTGATTCTTAGGAGAGGCTTCTCACCTACCCACACGCATGGTCTGAAATCACCACCATACTGGCACCAGAGCACAGCCCTGTGAATGCAGGGGGCGCTGTGCTGTGACTAGGTTCTTGACACCCGCACCTGTTTTGCACGGAGATAAGGGAGTTCCCAGAAACCCAAGAAGGTTGAATGCCAGGCACGGTAGTTCTGTTTATGGCCACTAGGGGATGCACAAGTGCCATTTTGCTTTCCTGTGAGGTTTCCGTAAGAATTGTCTTACAGAACAATAGAAATATTATGTAAGCAAATGAAATGTTGAGAAGAATCTGCATTTATTATTATGGGTTAATATCAACAGACTGGGGCCAGGTGTGGTGGCACATGCCTGTAATCCCAGCACTCAGGAGGCTGAGGCAAGAAGATCACTGTGAGTTCGAGGCCAGCCTGAGTTAAAGTGAGTTCCAGGGAGTCTTGTATCAAAAATAAGTAAGTGAGTAAGTAAATAAATAAATAAAAAATATGCAAAAACCCCAACATACTAAATGAAGAAGACAGGATAGGGAACAGAATGAGGGTGTTTATTTTTAGGATGTTGTCCTGTTGAAATAGGATGGCACCTGGTTCAGTGTGCTCTGCATCAGCTTTAAGGAGACTGCTGGGAGGCAAGAAGATGAAAAACAGAACTGCAGCAGCTTTTAAGCTAACAGCCAGCCTCTGGAACAGCCACATGTATCGTACCCTCCACGCCTAGATAGCTAGGTCACGCCAAGCTCCCCTCTGACTCCATAACCACTCTCCAGGGAGGGTCTGGGGGAAAAGCAGTGGCTCAGTCCTCTGCTGAGTAAGAATCCACGGTAGCCATGGGCTAAGCTCTTCTTGGGAAACAGAAGGCGAACCAGAACCCAGACTTTCTGTCTGCTGGTTTCTCCCAGTCACGTGGTCCTCCTAGGGGCCAAGTTTATCAGATGTGGGTTTACAACCAGTGCTTGCCTGAACACATGGCAGTAGGAAGCCTGGCTGCCTGGGAAGGGCCAGCCCTGGACACGGCGGGGAGGGGGGATAGAGGCACTGGGGATAGAGGTGCCACTGGCCCAGCGCTACACTCAACTACCCATGCCCCTGGTAGCATCTACTTTCTTTTATTCCTTCATTCCATGCTAGTCAACATATCCATGAAAGCAAGGATTCTGTTTCTCCCAATATAAATGAGAAGAAAAGCGTAATGACCAAGGAAGAAATGTTGAGCATGCACGTGGGTGGGAAGAACTGGCGCCTGTCCCTCCTGTGGCATGGTAGATAGGTGCACATCTCATTTCATCACCCCATGCTCTCTGTCCAGGTGGGACATTCGCTGGGGGCAAGAACCAGTGTCCCTCAAGCAAGTCTACAAACAGGCCTTTTAATAAGCACTCACAGGCCAGGCAGATAGCTCAGCAGACTAGCGCCTGCTTAAGCAGAGCACAGCGGCCAGGGTTTGATCCCTGGCATGCCGTGCCGGCCCCGCCCCGTGCCGGCCCCGCCCCCAGAGGACACTGAGATGGTGATTGAGAATGGGTGTGGTGGCACGAGCCAAGAGTCAGATCTGCTTAGTGAAACCTTGTACACCCTGTCCTAAATTCATTTAAAAAAAAAAAAAAAAAAAAAAAAAACTCACGCGCTGTTCCACCTCTCGCCGCTGAGTGGCGCTGTGTAGGGCGTTAACCTACGTACTTACTGTCCTGAGACGCTCTGTGCCCACGCTCCATCCCCAGATCGTCCTTACCTCCCAATCACTCACTCATTTATACTCACTCAGCACTAGGGAGCAGGCAGAATTGGTGGATTGATGACCCTGGCAGAGAGAGGGATCCCACCAGGGAGAGGCAGGGTCAGCCCAGAGTTGCTCCACAAAGACCCGGGCAATGCTGGGCAAGGACAATGGAGGCTGTGCCCCAGAGCATCCCATCCCATCCTGCAGGTGTGCTCTTGCCACTTTCCACCCACCCTGCAGCGCCCCTCAGCACCTCTGCAACATGCTTGGCTTTCTGGCCTTCTCAAACAAAATGGAGAGTCTGCCCCCACCCCCACATGCTGCCCTCTGAATGCCCCCTTCCCCGCCCTCCACCCTATTCATAGCTGTTCAGGAGTGGGCAGCTCTCAGGCCCAGCCTGGAGCAGGTGTGGGGGATCGGGTAACTGACAGATGAGCCCGGACAGCTGCAGCTGGGGCGTGGGGGCCTCAGGGGCTCAGATTCATTGTCATGCACTGGTATGTGCCTGGGAGAAATGTCAGGCCTGAAGGGCCCGACCCGCAGGCTGGGGTGGCAGGAAGGGCTGGGGCGAGCTTCTGCTACCAAGGTTCAGCTCAGCTCATGCCCTGCTCAGCATTCCCCACTCCCAGCCAGTACTGGGGACTGAACTTAGGACTTCGTGCATGCCAGGTGCTGGGTCAAAGTTCTCCCACTGAGTTACATCCCCAGCTCTTTTACTTTTATTTGAGACAAGGTCTAACTAAGTTGCCCAGGCTGGTCTTGAACTTGCGATTGTCCTGCCTCAGCCTCTGGAGTAGCTGCAATTACAGGCATGAGCTGTGACTCTGCCCAGCATTTTCAGTGTGCAGATTTGTGTTGATGGCCTCTAACGTCTGATAATGCCCTCTCCTACACTAGAACAATGAGCTTCTGGTCACAGAGCTCAAGGACACTGGTGGGGGGCAGCTGTCCCCAGCCCTGGGCTCCAGTACTCACTGGACAGTGCCTGGCCTCAGTGACTCCATTACACAAACGCCACTTCCAGTAAGCACTTGTCTCGGCAGGGTGAGATCAGTAACTCTCAGGGGAGCAGAGGCAGAAGCCAGGTCTGAGGACTTGGAAGCAACACTCCCTACTCCAAGGATTCTCACCAACTCTGCAGTCCCCAAGAGCCAGGACTGAGGAAACCACAGGCAGGAGGGAGAAGATGGGGCCCCGGCTGACCCAGATTCATTGTTAGTGACATGCGTGTTTCTCTTCCTGTCACCACTCATCTCCTCGGGTGCCTGCTATCCTCCCCACACAAGGCCATGTGGCAGGTGGCAGCCAGGGCAGAACTGGCCTCTGACAGGCCCTCCTGTCTCCTTTTACATGGCCTGATTGTGTGCATCCTGCAGGCACTCAGAGAGGCACCTGCTCTTGTGGGCTTGAGGAAGAACAGGGCCTCCCCTCCACTGCCAGCTCAGAGCCCTGGCCTTTGTGTGCCTCAAGGAAGGATGGTGACAGTGGCACACAGAAGCTAGATTCACTAGGACCCAGCTCTGAAATGGCCTGAGTGGGTGGGAGCTTGAGGCAGCTTGCCCTGCCTCGCCCCCATCACAGATACTGCACCAGGGCAGCCGGGAGGATGCAAGTGTGCTGCCCATGGGGACCAGGCAAGGCTGAGCACAGTACACCTGTGGTGCCTGCCTAACCAGCTTCCCCAGCAGTGTCCCAAGCCTCTTGCTCTGAGTCCCCACCTGCAGCTTCCCTTGCGGGAGAGGAGAAGGTGGCAGGTGCCATGAGCTAGGTGAGAAGAGGACATCTAGTGTCTCTCCCTCCTGCTGTCTTCATGCTTCCCAGCAAGACAGCAGCCTCATCTTCTGGAAGAAGTGCAAGGTCCAGAACATGGCCCAAAGCCCACTGCCCACACCGGATATAGATGTGCGGTCAGGGCTGTTTGCTATCCCCATGCTGCTCATCAGTGGACCAGAAGCCTTTTCTGGATAACCCAGAACCCACACCCAGCGCAGGAGAAGCACTGAGACTGCTCCGTGCAACCCAGGATGGGTTAGTGCCACAGATATAGGCTTGCACCAGGAGCCAGGTTGCTGGGGTCTGTGTACTATGAGGAACTGAGTAAAATTGGGCAAGTCACTTAACCTATCTGTGCCTCAGTTTCCACTCTGCAGGTGAGTGTATCAAGTGGAACTACCTCTGGGACGTACACTGACCACATCAGTGCACGTGAAGTGCCAAGGAGGAAGAGGCCAACGTAACCTCGCCACCTGTGTCATCCGAGGCACACATACAGAATGAGAGCAGCACTTACACACCTCACGGCTGGGGCTTTTCTTGCTCTGTGCTTCAGTTTCTCCTATTTGTGAAATGGAGGCCTAAGGTGATCTGCACATGGAGAGAGAATAGAGAATGCTGCCAAAGATCTCGGTGGGGGAACACCCAGGGCATGAGCATTTGCATGGCAACAGGCTAGTTGCCCTTGTCTGGGGGGTAGGGGGACAGTGGATATGCAGAATGGCCAGCAAGCACATGAAAAGATGCCCAATATCTCTTTTCTTTTCTTTTCTTTTCTTTTCTTTTCTT